TTGACAGCTGGGTGGGTCAGAGGGGTTGTTCCGTGCCAGGGCATGTGTGCCTGCCTGCATCCATGTGCTCTGAGTACAATAACCACATCAAAAGAACAGTTTTGGGGTTGTTTTTTTAAAGCTACAAAAAACAGCCAGCTCCATATTAATGACAGGCATATGTCTATGCTGCTACAGTTTGTAGATAGCTGGGATTTGTACAGGAAATAAAGCCTCCTCCACCCCCTTCCCTTACAGAGCCTTCCAAAAAAGACTGTATCACTTTGGTCTTACATCAACAGCCAACTGGAAGACTTTACTAACCCCTTGTACGTGAGCTACTCCAACCATGTCCTGTATCCCGTGGCCAGCATGCGCCACCTCGAGCTGTGGGTCGGCTACTACATCCGCTGGAACCCCAGGATGAAGCCTCAGGTACGCCTCTTCCCGCTCCTGCTTCCCTCTCTGCTAGTGCCAGTACTGCTTCTTTGGAGGTCAAGAGCTTCAGGTAATGTACAAACTTATGCTTAAATCTGAAAACAAACACCTAAATTCAAATGCCAGCAAGAGCAAGCACCACCTTGAGCTGCCTAATGCAGGTGCCCAGCTGGACATCACCACCTTGTGAAATCTGCAGGAGCGGAAGATTCTCAGCAATCTGGGAGATTTCTTACTTAGAATGTGGGAAAAATTATCTGAGTTCTCTTTACAAAAGATCTTAAAACCCCTAAGACTTCTCTGAATGTGGGGTTCTATATAGGAATTTTGGGGCTGTATTTAAATTACTGGTGATGGGAACCTGTTGCTTGCTCTGGCTGCCTGAGGGACCCCAGCCAGCAGGGAAGGTGACCAGCAGGGAAGCTGGCTTGCCCAGGGCAGGCACCTCAGACTAGCAGTCTGAGCAAGACCCTGAATGCTGACATCACTTTTTAGTAGAAAGGGACAAAAAATCCCAATTGCTTCAGTGCCTGTCTGCAGGTAGCAGTTTTGCAGATCTGCAGCGTTAAAGACAGGAACCCAGCAAACACTTTGCAGTACTGACTGTTCGACAGTCAGAACTATGTGAAAATATTTAGAAGAATCTGGCTGGGTTTTTTCCTCCCAAGCCACTGAAATTATGTCCAGGCTGAGATGCCATGGCCAGTGCCCCCCGGAAATGTCAGAGATCAGAGTCTAGCAACTGTCATCTTTCAAAATACATACAGACTGTTTTGTTTAGCCACCATTGCACTGTGCATATTGGAGCCAAATGAGCAGCCAGGAGCCAGAGCAAGCATTTAGGTACCTGTGGGCTGGAGACTGATGACACTCATCTGCCTCCTTCCCCCATCGCTGTCTGTAAGGTCAGCAGCAGCTTTGTGCTTCAGCCTCCCTCTTCCACGCTCACCTGCCAGTGCTCAGCCACACATTTCCTTGCAGGAACCGGTTCACAATCGCTACAAGGAGCTTCTGGCCAAGCGGGCTGAGCTGCAGAAGAAAGTGGAGGAGCTGCAGAGAGAGATCACCAACCGTTCCACCTCATCCTCGGAGCGCGCCGGCTCTCCCGCGCAGTGCGTCGCTCCCGTACAGACAGTTGTATAACAGGGACTTGTTCTTGCTGACTACCTTCCCAGGACCGTGGGGGGCAGCTTTTCTGAAACCTCCTGGATTTCCAACGTGGTGCCTGGGAGATGCCAACTTATTTATTTATTTCTCTCCAGGGTAATTTATTAGTACTGTAGCACTAGAGAAAGCTTAAAGCAAAAACCAACACAGACAAGACCCCCTATGCAATTACCCTTCTCAGTGGCTAGCTTATATTGCACTTGCCACCTGCAAGAAGCCTGGAGCTTGCTCTTTGTTCACTGATGTGCTGGAAATCACTTGGCTTGAAAGAGTCTGTACACGAGCATGAAGTACTGTGGAGGAAAAACGTCTGCTCAGAAGTTTGAAAGGCCAAACCTGACTTTGTATTGGAGCCTCAGATGCAGCTGTGCCATCACACACCCTCCTGCACAGCAGAGTCAATGAGGGCGTTTGCCAGCACGCCTGGAAAGAAGCAACAGCAGTGTCTGAAACAAGTCATTCCCTTCACCTCAACCTAGGTCATAGGAAGCCATGCAAATGATGCCTTATTTAAAGAAAGGGCAGCTTCTCCCAATAAAACACTGCGGTAGAGGAATAACAATATAGGACATGATTTTGTGGGACAGTGTTTACTTCCATCTCTGCAACTTCAGAATCTCACTTATGGTTTACAGTGGGTGTGCCAGGATGCAACTTAAGGACCTGTATTTCAGAGGGGGAGCAGAGTGGGCTCCCCTGCCTTCCCACAGCTCCTCTGGCCTCCAGTGCCTCACAGTCATCAGGGGGAAAGGTAATGGAATACCAAGGGGCACATGTGAACTGCTGGAATCAGCCACTACATTTGCTTGGGTAAGCATAATCAGCAATTTTAATGCTTCTGTGCAGGGTTATTGTGGTGTACTTATGGTATTTCAGCTTTCTGCTAACTAATGGAAGCAACTGTGCATCAACCAAAGACGCCTTTCTGCCTGCATTGCAACTGCTGCTTTAGGTTTTTCTGGCAGACTGAACAGCTTAGCCATTTTCTAAACCCTACCTTTTTCCTCATAGTCTGCTTCAAGAATTGGTGTCACTCAACTAAACTCAAGCTGAAATTGAATTTTAATACAAAAATTTACTGTAGGGGATACAACACATACTTGGTGAAACCATGACTGCCCCTTTGCTCTTCCAAACAGGTAAGCACAGGGTTGCAGAGGAGGGCTCTTGGAGCAAAGGCAGTTCAGTATGTGCAAGGCTGCTTCTCCCCCTCTGCTGAGGAGCAGAAGTACTGCTTGGTGTGGGTTCCTGTGTTGCTCTTTTAGGATTGGATCCCAGACTGGTCACCTGCTTAATATACCTGTCAGCTGCTATTCCACTAGAGAGGGATTTTTGGGGGGAGCATAAGAGCAGGCCTATTCCCACCTAAGAAATGGCCTTTCAAAAGCCACATTCCTTCCAAGGCAGTTAGCAGTCACTTCCTCCTGCAGTCTCCAGTTCTGCCTGCTCTACTGCTGCAATCACCACTCCGACCACTCCGTGCTTACAGAGAAATCCAGGGCCACCTGGTGACAGGGTGAGTAACAGGCTGCACAGCATCACCATGGCTGTTAAGGGGTGGCCTGTCACAGAATGGTTCAAAACTGTAAAGAATCCACACAAAACACTTCCTCATTTGCTGTGAGGGCAGGTCTGCTCTTACCTACAATCACTATATAAGATGGTTTAAAGCATTATTCTGTATTAGCAAATTGACTATGTGTGTATATTTTGTTTCTTGATGAAGGCTGTTTGGTTTCCTTAACGCTAATAAAAACAGAAAAATGGATGAAGTTCCTGTGCTCTTGTTTTCAACTATGTGGTTTTTCAAAGGACTTGCAAGACATGCAGACATGAAATAAATAGCACTGCAAGTTCAGTGTGTGAAATCCAAACCTCTCTCATTCGCCTGCAGAGGGTCTTTCAAGTTGTTAATATTCAAACTCTGAGGCCTAGAATGACAGAAAACCAAGATTCATCTTTGGACAAGTTTCATTTACCCTGTACAGACCAGCACTTAGCTGTCAGCATTATAAAAACAGAGTCACAGAACGGTTTGAGTTGGAAAGCACCATCAAAGATCATCCAGTTCCAACCCCCCTGATTGGCAGAGACACATTCCACTAGACCAGTGCTCAAAGCCCCATCAAACCTGGCCTTGAATACTTTCAAGGACAGGGCTCTCTCCAGAGGTCCTTCCCAAGTAAAATGACCAAGTGTAAGTTTCAGCTACTGATTTTTCAGGACTCCCAGCATGAGCTGCTCTTTAAGTGGTTGCTGTCACTATACCTGGTTAGCAGCATCTAACAGCAGCTAACCCCTTATGTGCAAGGAGACAAGCTGGTTGGATCCCCTACAGGCAACAAACTCAACTCCCTTCTGCCTGTGTTGACCCTGCAGAATTCCCTGCCTGCTGAGCTACAGGCAAGGGTGGACTGCTCTGACTCTGCCCTTCCCTGCAGCTCTCATTCATCACCCTGACCAGGGAGAAGTCTCCTTGCCATAAAAAGCCAACTGGCTGTGGCACAGTGCTGCAGCAAACTCCCAGCTAATACAGAGGAAGTGCAGCTTTCCCACAATTCATTCAACAGGCAAGCTGGCTTTATTATTTTTCAACTGTATATACAGGTGATCTGGGTCTTCTATACATTCCATTGACAGGAAACTTTACATTATTAACATAATAAATAACATTTAATCAGCTGTGCAAGTCAGAGCACAAACTTCATTGCACTACTACCAAAGCTGATAGCTCATCAAAGCACATCCTTAAGTTAAAAGCAAGATGCCAGGACCAAATGGCACGATTGAGGCACTTGCAGTTTAAAACACCTGTGTGGTTTCTCTCACTCCTCTACCACCCAAAGCTGTCAGCTAGAGACAGGGTATTGCCCTCTACCCTACAGCATTTTCCTAAGGCAGGATTTCTGTAGAAAAATTTTCACTTGATCATTAAGCAATGTAATTCATAACCTACTTTGCTCCTTTTCTAAGCACTCAAACATCCACCCCCACTGATGCTAATGCAATGTAGCAGATCAAGAACCAGGGATGCCTTTTGAAGAGAGCCCCACAGAACACATTTGAAGGGGTGTACCTGTTCTCCCTCAGACACTCCCAGAGATGGAGCCATTGCAGCTGCACACAGAACAGAACTGACAAAAGCCCTCTACACCCAGGACTGCAGCACTGGTTTCACACAAGATGCATCCTGAGAGGCCTCCCAGATCAACAGCAGCAAATGGCATTGGCACATCACACACACCCCAAACCACGTACATGTGCAGTGCTTGGTGTGCTGGAACAAAACAGAAGGACTGCTGGAACCATAACACAGGGAACTGGGGGAACCCTACTGTTAAGATTCACTGGCCATGTACCTTGAAAATAGAATGTGATTTAAACTAGACCACAATATATACAATCAAATGCAGGGATGGAGAGCCAAGAGCCTGTAAGCCTATATTTCAAAAGTGTGCTTAGCATACAGTAGTCTCTTCCACACAGCAGGAAAGGCAGAATGTAAGTTTGGCCAGGATGCTTCAGGAACATCTCCTGCAGAAGAGTCAGTAGTCCCAGCTGACATCATCTTTCTGTAGAGAAGTCTGTATGGTCTGCATGTCTCTCAGCAACTGAAGATTTTTCCGACTCTTTTCTCCAGGCTTCACTTTGATGGGACCTGCATTCTTTCCTTTCGTGGTTACTGTAGTTGTTACTTTAACCTCACTGACTGGGAACTTGCTGTCTTTTATTTGTTTAGCAGAAGTCTTTCTGGGCTTGCATTCTCTCTTAAGTCTCTCTAGCTGAAAGAGAAACCCAAAGAAAAACATTAAGAAGTGATCTTCAGTTTTATGTTCAGCAATTCTTCCAATCAGCTGAAATATCCCACCACATATCTCACCCAGGTAAGCAAATGGTTGTTTCCAAGTCCCACTGAACAATAAATACTTTACTTTCCTTACAAAGCATTGTTATATTTGCATCTTTAGAGCTGTGTTTAGCTTACAGTGATGTACCTCCTCTCTAAAAATTGACATGTTCATTATGGGGGAACATTGCCATCAGGAATGTAACATAAAAAGAGGCAGATGAAGAAAGCTGATTTATCACTGTTACCATCCAGTGATCAGAAAAGAAAGCAAGAGCTTTTTACATACATACTACTAATTGTAATAGCTAGTCACTGTCAGAGATGTGGGTTTGAAAGAATACCAGAGCTCTGCTGAGGTGAAAAGGTGGTGCCCACACACAGCTCTGTAACATCACAGCATGTGAGTCAGTCTCAGTACTCCCCAGCAAAGACTGAAAGGGGAACTGGACAGTCTGAGGTTCAGGCACATTCATACACCCAAACCACACCACAGGTGGCTTCTGTAGCTCCCTCACTGCAGGTGGTCATGCTCTCTTCTTCTAGCTGACAGCATGCAACAATTTTCCTAAACCCCAGCTCCTAAAACTTTTGCCAACAGCACATGCAGCATCATTACTGCTGAGAACTACAGCACATCTCTGCAGCAGTTCCTCTGAAGATCACAGGATATCAAAAGTGAGTAATGCTTCTAACAGCAAGTATTTCACAGGTCCATTCTGGATGTCAGGTCTCAGCATGTGTTTTGTGTATAAGTTACATCAGGTGAGGCTTGAATCGTGGTTTGTATGAACTGAACCAGATTAAATACATGGGGTTAAGCTCTTTGGAAGAAATTCACTAAAATTAATGAAGACAAAAGAAAACAGGAAATCAGTATGTTTTATAGCTTTGAATGAAAAGGCTACACAATCCAAAACATTCTGAAAGTTATAAAATAGGCAAAACAGGTATTTTGAGTCTTAAAAGATGCAAATCCAAATATAAATAGGTCATTTAGTCCAAGTGAATGGAAACTGTTCAGCAATGTTCAAGAGACAAGAGCAATGTAAAATGCAATGTGAGAACAGATGCAAAAGCCCTGTCCAGGACAGTGAAGAGTGTGCACAAGGGTGACAGAAAGGATGTTTTTGCAAAAATACTGGGATGGATGGAGGTATGCAGACTAACTTTGGGACATCAAAGGTAGAATTAACTCTAGTTATTTCTGCTTTATGCAATTGCTGCTAGATTAGGATATAACATAAACTCCTACTTAAGTCAGCAACTCTACATAAGTATGATCACAGGCAAAAGAGACTCACCTGCAAACGATGCTTCCGAACTTTGCTGATTTGGTCTGCCTTTGCTTCCATCCTTTCCACTAGTGCATCCAGCTCCTTCTCCAGCTCTTCCCTCACTGCAGCACTTGGGGCCTCCAGGATGAGCTTTGACAGCTGCTGGTGATCACTAGCACACAATTCAGACAGAACAAGCTTGCATCAGTTTCCACTGGCTTCTATATCATGTACCCAGTTCAGAAATAACACTTCTAGGAAACCATAGCACCAGCAGCCAGACATGTTCAGCACACCATAACAAACCAGTAAGAACAGTTTTGCTGGTTTGCAGCATTATTACAGTAGCACATTGTAGTGACAGGCTGCTGCAACACTGATAACTTAAGTAGCTTCCAACTACAAGATGCATATTCAAAATGACCACATAACCATTTGAGAGCTTGATCTCAGCACTCACTCAGTTAATATTTTGTGTATTTGTGCCTACTGCAGCTGTGCAGTACAGTAACAATTCACGTTCTGTTAACCAGGACAAGCACAATACCCAGCAAAGCTATCCTCTAATGGACTATTTGTCCAGATCCTGCTTTTGGCTAGGATAGAGTTTTCATTTTTAGTAGCTGTTACATTGCTGCATTTTGGATTCAGTACAAAAATAATGTTGATAACACTGATGTTTTCATTGTTGCTCAGCAGTGTATAAGCCTAAGCCAAGGGCTTTTCAGTGTCTTAGCCTAAGCAAGGGCTTTTCAGTGTCTCCTGCTATGCTAGGGAGCAGGGGCACAAGAAGCTGAGACAGGGAGATACCTGGGATAGCTGATTCAAACTGGCCAAAGGGTTATTCCATACCACAGAACATCGTGCCCAGTATTATAGACCAGGGGGAGTTAGCCATGAGGGGACAATTGCTGCTGGGGATGAGCATCTGTCAGCAGGTGGTGAACAACTGTACTGTGCATCACGTGATTTTTTACCTTTGATTTTATCTCTCTCCCTTTTTCATTACATTTTACTTTATTTCAGTTACTAACCTGTCCTTGTTTCAGCCCCTGGCTTTTTCCTTTTCCTAATTTCCCTCCCCATCCCACCAGAGCAGAGGGCAGGAAAGCAGCTGCATGGTGCTTAGCCACCAGCCAGGGTTAAACCAAGACAGTATTTTCTGGCACCCAACATGGCCCGTGAGGGGTGAATGGCAGGTCTGACCAGAGTGTGTGAAGACAAATCTTTTCTAGGCACCGTTGCATTGGTTTAGTGGTGGCAGGTAGCAATGCTGGTTCATGGTGCCGCGGAATCCCTGCCCGTGACATTCCCGGGGAACGGGAGCCATCTCCTGGGGAATCCGTGTAACTACACCTTGCTCCTTCCCGGCTCGGCAGCCAAGCACAGGGGAGACCCGGTCCCACACCTTCCCTGCTGCTCCGGGCTAATTACAGCAGCCTTGGAGAACACGCAATATCCCGCCCAAGCTCAAACCAGCGTGGTCCCAGTGCTAGGATCAGCATGGTGCTGAAGGGGGTGCAAATCAGGGCAGGATTTGTGTCTGGGGGCAGTGAGTGAGCAGCTCATGGGACTGAGTTGCTGGTCAAACCACAGCAGAGAAAGCTTCCTTGTGCACTAAAGACGGGCTAGTGAGGCTACACACCACAGGGAATCCCGAGTTTCTCCTCTGGGACCATAGGGAGAACATCAAGGGGGATGGAAAACCTGTGCCTCAACCCTAGAGGCACAGGTATGCAAATTGCAGGCAAAAAACAAGCACAAAAAGGAATTCGTCCAGGGAAGTTGCTGCTTAAGTCTTCAATGGGCAGCTCCCAGACAGAGTGGCAGGGCCGATGTTATTCCTGATCCTATGGAAAAGAATTCTAATTCTCTTTTACAGGAAATGGAGAATCCTAGGACCAGTATTAGAGGAGGACAACCAGGTTACTGGACTGTGTGGCTCAGATGGCCTGGGCACATCAGCCTCACGGGAGCACAAGGCTTGAGCAGACCCTGGTGCAGTGCACCCTAATGCCATCAAGCTGTACAGGGGCAGAACCCACTTGTATTTCTGGAGTGACAGGGACATCCCAACAGCTGATGGTCTCAGAGGCTGAAACCAGCCTGACAAAATGACTGGCAGAAGCACCCCACTGTGACTGGCCCAGAGGCTCTGTGCACCCTTGGCAGAGACTGTCTTGGCCATTTTAAGGACTCAACGGGGTGGGCTCTCCACATAGCTGCCATGGAGACAAAGGAAATGAAGCATCTGTGTACCCTGCCTTGTCTCTCAGAGAACCCTTCTGATGTGGTGCTGCTGAAGGTCAAAGAACAAGAGGTGACAGAATGATTTGGGTTGGAAGGGACCTTAAAAATCACTGAGTTCCAAACTCCTTTGCGCGGGGGCATAGCATAAGCAGGGCCATTTTCAACTGGCTGCCCAGAGCCTCATCCAACCTGACATTTATGTCTCCAGGAATGAGAATCCACACCTTCCCTGAACAACCTGTTCCAGTGCCTCACCATCCTCACAGTAAAGAATTTCTTCCTAATATCTCATCTAGGTCTACCCTCTTTCAGTTTAAAGCCATTACCCTCAGGCAAACACTATATACCCTTGTAAAAAGTCCCTCTATTGTAGCCTCCTCTGAAAGGCCCCCAGTGAGGTCTCTCTGGAGCCTTCTCTTCTCCAGGCTGAACAAGCCCAGCTCTCAGCCTGTCTTCAAAGGAAAGGTGCCTTCTGATTGTCTTTGTTGGCCTCCTCTGGACTCACTCAAGCAGTCCCACATCCTTCTTGGGTAGGGGGTTCCAGAGCTGGACACAGCCCTGCAGGTGGGGTCTCAGCAGAGCAGAGCAGAGGGGCAGAATCCCCTCCCTGGCCCTGCTGCCCATGCTGCTCTGGATGCAGCCCAGGACATGTGTGGCTTCCTGGGCTGGGAGTGCCCACGGCTGGGCCATGTCCAGCCTCTCAGCCACCAGCACCCCCAAGTCACTTCAGCCATTAGCTACCCACCCACCACCTTTTCCTGCCCTGAAAGACTGCCCTGACAGCTGAGTCCAAAGTCATGGACTACGTTAACTCAATGGCCTAGTAAAGGGATAGTCCATAGACTACAGAATGGTATCTGTGTGTACCTACATCAAAAGGCTGGAAAGGTGATGGTGGTTATCTGGGACGTACTGGAAAGTGTGGGGCTTGGGCAGGATGTAACTGGTACAGTGTAAGGGGTGAATCCTGCCCATCCCAACACAGGGGAAGGCCAGGTGTGGGGGCTGTGAGTGGCAGCAGGGTCCTGTGCTGGCTGGCTCCACACCTCAACAGTCCACTGCACTGGGGCTGTGAGCACACTTCTCCCTCACCTCTTCTGAAATCAATACTGCTGCACATAAGCACAGGGCTGGTGTTCAAACTGTTTAGCAGAGACTCTAACTGCAAGGACAATTGACAGCCCCTGCAGTCAGCAAGACAAAGATTACATTCAAGAGATTTCCTAAATTAAGAACTTTCTCAGGCAAAACCTTCCAAGTTCAAAGCAACAAGGCAAAAATATGAAACATTGGCATTCATAATCTGCAGAAGAAAATACGCCACACTCACAAACTCATCTGTCCAAATTCATCTTGTAAAGTCATCAACACTTCTGAGAGCTCTTCCTGAGACGAGGACGAGTCCATTGTCAGGGATGGCCTTCTGCTTTTGCAGGCAGGATGACCAGAGCTGGTGGGTTTGGCTGGAGGATCGTTCAGCACATGCCTGTTACACAAAGCTTTGCTGTGATGTTTCATCAGGTGCAGCACATGCTGCACGTTGGCACAAACCGAATGACTGGGACTGGTAGACTGAAAGGAAAGAGATTTCTGTTAAATAGGATTATCAACAACTTGGTAATACTGGAGAGCATTCAAAAGCAGTGCCACTTTTGTTTTGCTGACAAGAATGTAATTTTTGTTTGAATTAATATGCAGTAACAAGAACATCTTGTCAAGCAGCATAGTGCAGGCCTATTTTTGGTAATACCAGCTCAGCTAGTTGTCAATATCCAACAAGTACTTCAAAGACAAACTGTATGAAAAGTGTCAAAGAAAATTAAGTGATCTGACCACTGGGTGTCAGAAGTGCACCAACCCAAAGTCCCTTAAGGAGCTGCACCTACTGGGCTCTAAGCTTTGGAATTAATCAGCTCACCTTCCCAGCCACAAAGGGTACATCATCCAGACACAACCTGTAGTGGGGCTGCACAGTGGAATGTCTGACAAAGCATTTCTGGAAAGAAAGAAGAGAAAGTATTTAGCAAAAATTCTAATACAGCCAAAACCCTTTCCCTTTACTTTGTAGTAAAAGAGGCAATCAGCTCCCTGATCACATGTACACAACCTTATTTAACTCCTCAGTAACTGCCCTTCTCTTCCCCATATCTTACCTTCTCTGGCTGCTTAGCTTTTTTCCTGGGTTGCCTTACTTTTGGAGAAAGCAGTGGTGATGCTGCTTGAATCAGTAGTCTGTTGGTTTCCAGGCCTGTCTGAAGCTACAATTGAGGGAATAAGGGGAGTTACTGAAAATATATTAATAAATAATCAGAGACAGTGCAAGCAGAGCACCGCAAGAATTTTTAAAGCATAGGCTTTCCAGAAGCAAGGGCTGCAAATTTTTAGGGTATTTTTGCAGTCAAAGGCCAACTTAAACATTAAATACTTCCTCTGTTAGCACTACTAATCAGTAATCCTAGTAAATTAGAGAATTAGCCTTAGTCCATTAGTACCATGCAGGCAAGTGCCAAAACATCAGCTGTGCTTTACACTTGGCAAGGAATTGGGGAGCTCAAGCCACACAACTGTGATCAATTGATCCCATGACATATAGTTACTAGGCAACTACTCCTTCTGTTCTATTAAATATGACAGTAAGAAAAACCTACAAACAAACAAACAAAAACCACCTAAATAAACAAACTAACCACCAAACCAGCTGTTGAAAGAGTTAAGGTTAGAACTTCCTGTCCACACTGAGAATCCTAACACACTTTGCTGTTCAAGAGGCAGATACTGCATGGCTTTAGAAATTGTGCCCTGAAGAAGCATTCACAGCACAGTTTTTCATTATTAATTTGAGGTACCCCTTTCCCCATCACACCAGACTTACGGCCAAGGTTAATGTTAGAGCCTGACGCATTACCTCCATAATCCTCCAGCATACAATGAATGCTTAATGAACAGCACACTTTCAGGTTAGAAGATCCAGCATCCTTAAGGGCTCATAATCAAGAGTATGTTGCCTCTTTTTTGCTTTCCTGTACAGCATTTTAGTTACAATTATGAACAAGGGGGCCCATTTGTTGACTTTAATGTATTGAAAGGTTGCCATGCATACTCAATTTTGGATTAGTCTGAATTTCTACTCCTCTTCTCCAACTTTTAGTAAAGAAGTCAAAGTTGCAGTGCACATGTGGTGATAGGTTTCCAAAAAGCTCAGAAAACTTCAGAACATTTAGTACCTCAGGCAGAAGGAAAAACAAAAAAAGAAGGAAAAAAAGACTAAAACCAGGATTCACAAGTCTGTGAGGCATATGGGGGGCACTCTCAGTAAGCTTAGCTAGAAAGTTGATAAAAAGGAAAAGAGCTAATTACAGTGCATACCAGTACAAAAGAAATTTCCTGTTGGTTACCTCAGCTGCTTTTTCCTGAACAAGCTTCCTTGCATGTTCTTCCTCATAAAGCTTCTGTTCCAGCTCTTTCATTTTTTTCTAGTCAAAGTTAAATCAAAATAATAGTGTTACTAATGAAACCATTATTTTTTCTTCCTGAAGCCTACAATATTGAGCTTGCACAAAACCGTGAGTTCATCTTACAACTTAAGGCTAAATGGAGACTTGAGCATTAGAATGACTGCTGATGCTTTGCCTGTACAGGCATAAATACAGCAGTCAAAAGCTTATGCTTATCATTTAAATTGATCTTGCTATTCTTACTTTCACAATGGGTATCTGAACTCAGGTCACAGCCAAACACACACAGCAATACACAAGGCCCTTTCTCTTCAATTGTAAAAACACCCTAGACAGTAGGTTGCTTTGTGTACATGATCCTCCAAGATTCTGCACTACAAAAGAGCTAACAAAGACAGGTCATTATAAGGCAACAGAAGACTTGCTTTATTTAGACCACTAATGGTATTTTTGCTAAAATCTGTAACTTACACTCTTACAAGAAAAGAATTTTTGAACATCTAGCCACCTTCCTAGTAAATGAGGAAAGGTTGTATGATGCCCCTGAGATACCTTTAAATAAAACTGAAGTAATTTCATCTTTTAATCACAAAAACTTTAAGACCACTTTTGAAAGTCTTTTTCAAATGAAAAGGTTAACAGGGAAAGCACACATCTCTTTGTAAACCTCCAACAAGATGAAAACATTGTTTAAACAAGATACACTGAAATTCCCAATGTGAAAGTTATCAAATAACTTTCTGGCTTTATACAGCAGTGAAAAACAACCTGGAGCTCCAGTCTCCAAAACAATTTCCCTTCTCTTCCCCCAAAGACTGATAATTCACAGAGCCACTAATCAAACTTGAGGCAGAAAAGCATGTTATACAGAGTGACAGCTGTGTTTGCACACTTGTTTGTTTATAAACCCACTACATAGAGGTACTAAATATTTCAGTTCTGCTTTACTTAAGCATTAACTGCAAGAATAATGTAATGAGCTGTTATACAAAGGTGTTAAAAGGCAAAAGCCTGGATAAACATTGAGGACAAAGGCACTATATATAGGAACCAACTTTTTCTTTTGAATGAAAGAATCATTCTGATGAATTTTTTTCATTCAAAACAAAGGTATTCCAGGTAACTTAAAATCATCTTCTGCCCTTTACAGTTATTGGCACAACTCTTTGTATTTTTGTGGTCAGTCTCAAAGCCCTTTTATTAACCTTTTAAGTCTGACAGAATTTTTAGTATGAAAGTACTAAGGAAAACATTCTGTTTAAACTAAAGATTGACATGAAGCTGGGCCAAGGCTTTTATTCTGAAATGAATGTTCCCTCAGCTACCTGTTCAGCTGCAGGGTGCAGCTCAAACTACACAGCAAGAATGTATCTTACTCTATCATCTGTGACAAATCCTGTTAGAAATTATATATCCAACTTATATACCTAAATATTAAATATTTAGATTCCCTAAATATTTTTTGTTGTTTATAGCAGAAAGTATTATGCAGATTACTGGACTGTCACTGAGAGGCCACAGAGCCAAGCAAACAGCCCCTGCCCAGCAGTGCTGCCCATCATGTAAGACAGCACTGCAAAGGCAGCAAGCAGGCTGCAGGTCAGCACTGGGCTGCCTGAACACCCACTCAAGCACCAGGAGCCACTGCAAAAAACTTTATTGACAAAATAGAAAAAAAATATTTCAATGTCTATTTTTGACCTGTTTTCTAACAGAAAATGAATTTCATGCAACCACCTACCCAGAGAATCCCAGAATCACAGGGTGGTTTAGGTTGAAAGGGACCTCTCCACTAAACCAGGTGGTTGAGAGCCTTCTCCAAACTCATCTCGAATGTTTCCAGGAACAGGGCATCTGCCATCTCTGCAGACAATCTGTTCCAGTGTTTTGCCCAAGCCACAGAATTGGGGGAGTGTGGTTTTAATCTCACTGTCGGCATTAAGATCAATTACTATAAACTCCACACACACATTCAAATTCGGGCCATAAACAAGACCACAGTCCAAACTGCACTTTTAGGGAACAGCCACGTTTCTTACTCTATCTCCAGACACAGACACGTTCAGATCTTCTCAGTCAACTGTCCAGAGAGTGCACTGCAGGACTACAGTTGAACTAAAGATGCCTCAAAAGCATTTCCAGGGTAAGTACTCCACATAAAAAGCAATCTCAGCATTTCTTTTTCACAGCCACTACTGACATTAGTGAATTACTTGAAGACAATACTTATAGGGCTAGTAGTTCTCTGGGGAGATTAAATGCTCTCAGTAAGACCCTCACACAACCTGTGCTCTGGCACTGTCTGAACAGAGGCAGGATACATCTCTGCTCACTCATGAGCCATCACCTCACCACTTGCCATCCATTTCAGCACACCATGTATGAAACAGTCTCTCTTATTTCTTGCTTCAAATTCAACTTGAAAATGTTCCTACAATCTTGCCACAACTACAGCGAAGATCAAAGAGGGAACAGATGCAACACTTCTGAGTAGAGAGTGCAGGCACTCTTTGAAGATATTCAGCTAATACCTATCACACAGATGCTCACACACAAACACAGCTTATAACCACAGAGGCAGGCAGACCTGACAACCAGAAAATGGCTCATAACTACATAATGATGACAAGAAAAATGAATTCACATCACAGCTTAATCCACATTTATTTTAGGTCCTGGAATTGCTTCAAAATTGTGTGAATTTAACACTCAAATCCTCTAAAACATATTTAATTGTGGCAGCTACTAATTCCTAAAGATAAAGAATCAAAGACCTCTGGTTTGATCCAGAAGAGAACACAAAAAGAACCATAAGGTTGAAATTATTTTCGCTAGCCAAGCACAGAAAGACAAGCAACCCAGTCTCACCAAACTTCAGCTACTACCAGTCAAAAACCTAGTAAAACTCTTTCAGAGGGAATGCCAGCTGCTGAACATGTTATTTCAACTCCAGTCCTGGAGGAAGTCACTGCTACTTTCAGAGTACAAAACCCAGCAGACTCCTATTTTTCTTTTTACAAGTGTTTGGCCTAAGTAAACAATGCAGCCACTTGTACTTTACAACTGCAGCTCACCACAACAGGGTGTCAAGACCTTAAAAAGCTGCTTTGGCTCAGGGACTTCCAAGAAGAGTTGCAGCATCTAAGTTTCCTGCAGCAAGCCAAGCAGCTAAAGATTTACTACCAAACATCATCTTATGTACTTCTGGAGAAACACCATCTATTTCACCACCTGAAGTAAGGGCTGGTGTACAAAGTGGGAAGCCCGTGATTTTGACAGAATCCAGAACTGCCAACCTCAATATTACAATCTGATCATGGGGTATCTGGTCCTTTTTGGGGGAATAGGGGAGAAATCTGCAGAAGGAAGCCTCTCCCTGGTTAAGCCCTCAGTAGTTTCCAGGCTTGGGAGACGTGTGGTGTCTCTTACAGTATCAGAAAGAGGTATGTGGATGAGCATCAGAGGCCAGCACCACAGAGGGTGCACAGAGATGTATGGGGTTTGTGTGGTAGCTATGGGGCTACAGGGGTGGCTTCTCTGAGGAGCTGCCAGAAACCTCCCCATGCCAACAGAGCCAATGCCAGCTGGCTCCAAGACAGATCCACCACTGGCCAATGCTGAGCCCAACATCAATGGCAGTAGCACCTCCCTACAGACAGGGAGGGGGAAAAAACCTGTGGGGAGCTGCTGCCAGAAGCAAGGAGTGAGAATGTTTGAAAGCAGAAGCCTTGCAGACCCTAAGGTCAACAAGGGAGGGGGAGAAGGTACTCCAGGTGCCAGAGCAGAGATTCCCTTGCAGCCCATGGTGAGACTGAGTCTAATTTCTCACCATAAAATTAGAAAAATTATAAAACTTCAAGGGTGAACCCACCACAACAGAATATGACCAAACACAGTCACATAGAGTTTGTAGAAGCTACTGATCCAAACAGAGCCCTGAGAAGGCAGACTGACTCCAACCCACAGGGAGTCACCCAGTGCTAGAGGCCTTGCAACATGAGAGCACAGCAGTCTGCACACAAAATAACTAGTAATAATTGTGTTTCTTAAGGAGGGCTAAGAGGAAAAAATCCCATCAAATTCATACAAGTCAGGGTGAATCTCAATAATAACAGGAAATAACTATTAGCATTCAGTAGGATGGAAAGCAAGTCAAGATCTTAGGAATGGCTGCAATCTTACAATGCCTAGGCATCAACTAAGTACAAAAGAGGATCACCAAAAGACTGTTAAGGCATAATTAAAATCCAACTCTTGCAATGCAGTGCCCCAAAGCCTACCTGGACATGTACACTTGCAGCAATAACTTCAAGTTTCCACAACCCATCAGCTTAAAACAAAGTTTAGTTGCTGTCTTACTCTAAAGCACTAAGTTTTGCTCAGCTCTGCTATTGCCATAAGCTATGAAGTACAGATTACAATAAACAAGATACATATGATACAGTATCCAAGACAAATGCCAGACCTCTGCTGTGGACTGCATTGCAGTTAGTCTGTTGTACTCTTTTTCCAGCATATCCAGCTTTTCCAATTTCGACTGAACATGCGATTGGTCAAGAAGCCGATCTCTCACCAAGGAGCCCTCGAATGGAGAAGTGAAAAGAAAGACAATTATAAGCACAAGAAAACAAGATCATCTATAGCAAGCATCTGTGTAACATCTTTGTGTCTGGAGCACTAAGGAGATCCATAAACAGTCCAAAGGAACTACTAATTCCTCCGTGCAATTTTAGATGGTGGGACAATCAGGGAAAAAACTGCACCACTGGTCCACCAATGTTGGGAAGCCAGACATTTAACCACATCTGAGAGGGGATTCTGCAGTCTCTCCTTCCTCCCAGCTCAAAATATTAAAAAAAAATTATGCAGAAATTAGAAATAACTCTCTTGATTTTTTTTTCCTTCTATTTAACAGACTGAAATAGAATAGCCACAGAGACCAGTGAGCAGACAGCTCTAGGTGACCCATATGCTTATAAAACAAAATTCAAGTTCATTTTAGATATAGGCAAAATCATCATCACTGATGATTGGGAATAATTGGGTGATGATGGGAAATAGAAATTTTACTGCTATTTCTACAGAATCAGTACTTCAGGCCCAGTTTAACAAGAGCAGTGCTAGTAAAGACAATCCCCAAAGGCCTGAAGACTGTAAACACAAAAGGGAGGTTGTTTCCCAGTGGCACACAGGTATAGAACTGAAGGATAAGGATGAGCCACTGCAGTGAGCCAATCATGCAGAAGCAAACAATTCATATTAATGCCAGAGCCTGCTACTGCCTTAGAAACAGGTGAATAAAGAAAATACCAGGGTCATGAGAAGACTGGGAAATTTAAGTAGGGAAGCTATCCATACCTAAGAATATGAAGGCCAGCTGAAGTAGACACCCACACTTAAAAGTATAAAAATTACAGTAACTATGAAAAATCATGACATAATTAATTGACTTTTATGATTTAACCGAGATAGCTTTGGGAACACACCTGTTTCTCCAAGAGATGCGACTTCTCATTTTCCGCATGCTGGATCATATGTCTCATGTAGTCCAGCTGTTTCTCTAGAAGTCTGCATCGAGACTCAGCAGCTGCCAGCTGAGAAGTCAGTTCTGAAGATAACAGAAGGCAGAAAGTAGAAATCATGCCTTGCTTGTTTCTGGGATTTTTTTTTTGTTGTTGTTTTCAGGACAGTTTCAAAACAAACAAGAAAAGGACCATCTAAGAAACTTACATATTATGCTGAATGAACTTTTGTATAAAAACCCCTAAAATTAAGAATGCCTTAAAATTCTTTCTTTGTAATTCCCCAAGTCACCCCATTAAAAGATACTGAACAAAGTAAATTAAAATTAGTTTATGCATTTATAGGAATAAAGCTTCATCCACATCAATGTTCTGTAGTATCTATAGACACTTTGCAAACAACCTTGATTTTTCTTTGACACTTCAGTCTTGTCCCGTTCTTTGTGCTGCATTTGTTCACTCAGCATTTTTTTAAAGTTTGCTGTTTCCCTGCTGAGGTGTTTCACATTCTCCTCTGCCTCAAACCGTTCCAACTCCAGTTGATGAATTTTCTCCTGGAGATTCTTCAGAGCAGAAAATATTGCTGCAATTGAACAAGTACCTTTTGTTAGATACCATTAAATCACCACTTCAATACAACATAAAACTTGAAATGTTATTATAAAAGCATGTTATGTAAGAAGGTCAGAGTGTTCCTTAGCAGCATCCAAGAGTCTTTCCAGGGATTAGGACCTATTTCCCTTTAAACCATAACTGATTCTAAAGCTAGTCTCAAACAGATAGATGCCATTAGTGCACAACCTTCACCCGACACATTTAGGAAAGATACAACTATTTCCCAGAACAAGGCATATAAATGTGTCAACTGAGAACAAACAGAGTATCCTCTGACCCTTTATCAAAAGGAAGTGAAAAGTCTCAGATAGTGAAAACAGCAGCAACTCTCCATATTAATATTATTCCTACCACAACAAATACACAAACAGTGTTCCCATGAATGGCCACACAGCACTATAAAGGTTAACAATGAGAAGAGCTATAAAAGTGCTTATAAATAAGCAGACTTCTCTTTTAATTCTTCTGGTTTTTGTGTTCCCCTCCTCCATCTACAAACATACATCTCTTTAGTGCTGAACCATTTTGCCTTTCTGCTGCACTCCCAGCTTTAGCAGTCAGTAAACAAAGCCTTTCTATATTCTTCACCACAAAAAGAAAAGCAGCTATAATAGAACACGCATCACCCTGCAATTAGACCATCTGCTGGTAATCTGATGTATTACCTGTCTCTTAGCTGGCTGTTTAATTCCATGAAGGGAACCATAACCATAAGCCCTTTCCCCTGTACAGTGCTGCTGAAGTTAAACATAAGAACATCTGTACACACAGCTCAAATAGCAGACTAATCTGCAAGGCCACATTAGCCTACTCTTTTGTGCTTAAATCCACTCCAGAGAAAGAATGTACCTGTAATATAGCATGCTTGAGCACTTAAAGAGTTGGGACTGCATATTGGTTTATCCATCAGATAACACAAAAAAATGAAAAATATTATCAAATCTTGAAGCGAGTAAGAGCACATGAGAGTATCACACCAATGCAAGCCTGTTAAGTACATAAGAAGTAGCAGGAGCAGTCACAGTTAAGGGGAAGTTATTGACAATTTGGCCCTATTTGCAATATCAGAATCACCAATTGCACCCTCTTCTGTATTTACTGTTCCTTGGATTCACTTGAAATGGGCATAGCTGAAACAATGAACAGGTTTGTTACTATTATTGTTAAAGGCTACATTGAAATCTCAGTATATACACAATAATGACTAGCAAAACACAGTAATGAAGCAACTCAAGCAGTGAATAGATGAAGGTGAAACCCAACAGAGCAATTATTATTCAATCACATTGGAGTATTAAAGCCAACTGTGCGTGCTGACACACATATACAACACAAAGACATTAAACCCAAAATAAACAGAATTTACTATACTCAATTTCAGGATTTTTCAATAAGATTTATTTAATATGGGGAATGGGAAGAGCAATGAGGACCCTCAAGAACAACCAAATCAATTTTGCCACTTGAAATTAATTCCCACATCCTTAAATTTACTAAAATATACACCACAGAACATTTCTGCATTTTTAAAAGCTATGCAAAAAGAGAAACATACTGGATCATCCATGCGTTGGATTAAATTTTCAGTACATACCCACATTCACTTGCACTTCATTTAAGCATTTTTTGGAAATAAAAAATTTGCTAGTTTCTAAAACAGGATAGGATATAATTTATCAGATTGTCTTCCACCACCCATCCTTATTTCAGAGGAGGCAGAGTCACTGTTAGAAAAAAAATTGCCAAGTGAAAACTTGGAAGTCAAAACTTTATTGCTAATGCAACATGCAGCACACTCTACAAAAATACACCTGCATCAGTAATTCATAAGGAAGCTCTTTCCTGCACATCCAATTTTTCATCTGTAAAGATTGTTTTAGTTTTGTGTCAACAGCACTCTCAAAACTGATGGCCTTGAGAGTACACTCTGCATTTTAAATAGTGCTGCAAGAACTGAGATTTCATCTTTAAGGTCATTAACACACAAGTCTCTAGTAACTCAGACATGAATTGTGTTTTGGAGCAGACACTTGAGGCTATCCTCCTGATTTTTTACTTAGTTTTGGGTAATATTAGGATTCATCCTAAGCATTTCTCACTTTTCTCCATAAGGAAAAAAATATCAAGCAGTTCATAGTTTTATCCTCCATAACACTCCAATCTTACAGGGAGCATTTCTGCAATGACCCTGAGCCAAACAGCTCTTCAAAGGATCAGTCCTGCTCTGTCTCCCAACTCCTCATGATGCACCCTGCATGTACCCCAAGGCAGCTCTGCAGTAAGTCTCACTACATGACAAGCTAATTCACTAAAACAACAGAAAACTAACCAAGAATAGTTTTATTGTTCATGTCCAGCATGGAAAGGAGAAGGAATGGCCTAGAAACAAGAAGAATAAATGGGAGTAAAATTGGCTCCATTTTTTGGTGTTGTGAGCTCTCAGTTCAGCACTTTGCTGAAGCCTTCTCCATATCCTTTAAGTCTTCACTGAAAAGATAAATACAACACCTCCTTCATCCATGACAAGCCTTCCAACTTTAACAGGACCAAACCTCTTCCTTTTCTCCAAGCCATTCTGGGGACTAAAATTTCCTTGTTTCTAACTCAGGAGAGGAAGACTGAAGAAGGGACACAAGACCTGAATAGTTCATGAATTTGTACTGACAGACAATTTTACAAATCTCTACTACCAAAGAGGAGAGTATTTCTCCATTTGTAAGGTGACCTTCATCAACAGGTGCTCTTTGGAAAGAGAAGTGCCAAGGACCTACAAAACATCACTGGACATCACTGGGAATTGATAAAAGCATAAAAAGACTGCAACCTTCATAGGTGTGGAAGGCATACAGTATTCTACCACAATTTGGAAACATGTAGGAAAACAACTTTGCTGAACTATTACCTCTGCTGTGGCTTTCAGGATATGGAACTACTGGTTTCTGTGAGGAACGCTGTAGATCTGAATTAATAAATGGCTTGTGCTTTGGATATTCTATAAATGAAGCTGAGGAGAGTCCATCTGTGGCTGATGTAGAGCTCTGAGTGTTACGCAGATCATCCTGAAAACAAAAGAAAGCTGTTATTCAGCACATTTGTTTCTTTGTCACAACAACAAAAATAAAGAAAAGTAAGTGTCGCTATAAGACACGAAACAACACGACACAAATGCACAGCTCTTTCCAAGGTGAAAAAAGGATCTTTATTTTTCTGACTTCAACATTTATAGATTTCCAAAAGTGACAGTAGATTGGAGGGTGAAAGTGCCACCTCTCCAATGACACTGGACAAACCAACAGTCCATCAAATTTCTCCTCCTCCATAAAAGGATGTAAAACAATAAGTTATATACAAAAAGCGTGTGAAAAAGTTCATTACAAGAATGTAAACATCAGAAGGCTTAGAAAATTTAAAAAATCAGGGTAACAAGTAGGATTCTATCAGATGATGTGTAGAAGGACTCCTACAGGAGACTCGTATCTCAAAAGCTGTACTTCCTTCTTTATAGACTAAGGATGTGTCATTTTACATGCAACTCCCCTCCACTAAAAACTGTATCAAACAGAAGAATGTCTTTCCCATACTAGTTTCTGATTTAGCCTTTTTCTTTTCCATTTACTTGTACTGTCTACTACTTATTAGAAGAAGGCAACCCACAACCAGTTGGAAAACAACCACCTTCTTAATTACTGGTTCCATTTACTGCACAAGATACTGCACTAAGGTGGCCAAACCTGGTAAGGCACACCCAGGCCCGTGGTCCTGCGCCCCGATGTAACACAAGGGCTCACTGACTGCACATGGGGCACAGGACACTCTGCAGCTGGGAAGGTGAGCTTACAGTCCCAATCCTTCCAACTCCACTTGCTTATAGTCATTCTCCTTATCTTTCCATTAGCAGGTGGAACTTCACAAGACACATCCAGATGAGTTTATGCTACAGGTGATTAGGGGTATCAGCAGTGGAAAACCAGGAGATCACAGCCAGGAAAGAACTCCTGCCTCTAAGCAGTGATGGACTCTAAAATCAGCTTCAGACTGTTCTGGAAAACGCGGCTATAGAAATCACGGATTTCCCAGCAGTCTGCACCAATTTTGCAAACACCTGCTGTGCTTTGGATGTTGCAATGACCTGAAAGGAAAACCTAGCTGGGAAGATGCCCTTCTAAATAGAGGAAACATGGCAGAATTGTGTGTTTAGGGTTTTGACTCAAAAACTGGCCTAAGGTTTACAATCTGTATATACAAATTAAACAAAATGCTTATTTTTAACTTCTGTCAACTGCACCCATCACTAAACATCTCAGTGATAGAATTGGAAAGCACCCTAAGAGAGGTGGGCTGCAGGCAGATGTAAAGCTCCCACAGCTTCCCTGTCCATGAGTAAGTAAAAGGAGCAATTGCAGATCTTGGCAGGGTGTTTTTATGCTTTGCATACCAATCATTAGGAGCACATCATGACCAAAATTAAAATACAGAAAGTATTAAGTATCTCATAGCAAATTACACAATAGTCCAAAATGCATTACAAGGAGCCAAATATGGGGAAAAATTAAGAAAAAATTTAAGTTATTTAAAGTCCATACACAGCTGATTTCCTCTTATAAACACAGTGATTCATTGTGAGCAAGAAAATTAGGATCTTAACTACTCTGTGTGTATCAATTGGTGTTTCTAAGCACAGTTTTATGACTGCTTTGCAGTTTGTGTTTATAACATTTTCCCACACAACATAATGGCTGTTCTCAAAATAACTGCATTTGCACATGCATTTTCTACCACAGAAAGCAAATTGAAACACTAACTCCTAATTAAGAATATTTTAATAAAACTATTTTTACAGGTGTTTTATGCATAAACACACTGTTTCACACTCAGCAGCCTCACAAGCCTAAGCAGAGCACATGAATCCATCTGATCAAAAGCCTGTTAGGTGCTAACATCAAAAATGGCATCAGCATTACAGGATACGGCATTGATGAGCACAGGATACCAAGACCAAATGATGGAGTGAAAATGAACCAAGCAAAACACAGCACTTGTGCAGCAGGCAGTACAGGAACAGCAGCAACAAAAGCCTCAGCAACCCAAACAGCAGCTATCGATTCAAATATCAATATCCTGTCTGCTACTGATTCAAACCAAAGGTGCTCCATCAAACAGACAAAGCAAAAAGGTAATCAGCCTGAAGCCAAAGTAGGGCTGACAGCATCACAATCCTTCTAGATGTCACTATCATCTTTTATGTCTTTACAGGTAAACTCTTGTCTGAGAATTAAATGTAACTGCATAAAAACACCAAAGTAAAGGAATTCTCCTGTTTGATTTTGCTGCCATTAGTAACATCTTTCTAGCCAACAGCAGACTAGCTGAAAGAAAAAGCTGGTGTACTCAAAGCCCTGGAGCACCAAAGTCACACGAAGCAAAGCAAATCGAGGCTCTTGTCTATTACATGTCTTCTAAATTCCACCTGGATGCAGGCAATAGGCACTAATTTGAACAGTCAGTAATAGCAACTTGCAATAATAATTTGATTAGTGTAGTAGTCAGTAAGATATCTGCTTCAAATAGCTACTGAGAAAAATTGTGCTGGAATATGATCTGTTACATAGGTAATCATTCTTTTTCAGCCTAAATAATAATTTGCTACCACATATGTTTTTCTTACCTATTTTTAAGCAAAAGAGTGGCTTATTTTCAGTTTCATAAATAGCAACTTTAAATAATTTGACTGAATACTTTGGGAAAGTTTATAAAACAGTATCAAGGAATTTCCCTTCACAAAGCTCAAACATCACAGTGATTCTCTGCTCTTCTCCCCTATCTCTCAAGTCATTAAAAATCACTGAAATTTGTTCCTGCTCTTGGAAGATCTCACACGGAGTATCATGCTCGATGCCCAGGAAAATTGTGAAAAATAAAAGAAAAAATCAGGAAACTCTATATATTTGTTCTGAATCTCAGCTACGTCATGTTTGCTAACTACATCTCCTTTCTTTCAGGGCACTCCTCATAGTCTTCTGTAATCCCCACTAAAGCCTCAGAGTAGTAAATGAAGAAGCTTAACAGTTCCACAAAGAGCCAAGTGCACCGTGTTACATAACAGTGAGCTGAGTGTGTTTTATCTGCACAGGTCAGAGAACACTGCCTTCCAAAACTCACTGCTTCCACCCCTGCATATCAGCTGCCTACTCACGCAGAAAGAAGGGAATATGGAATACACAAACCAGAGATAACACATCACCAGCACAGGGACCTCCCGAAGCTCTCAAAGGCTAAACACAGTGGGAGGGGGAAAAAAGACAAGCTCATACAGAAAGTTTTTTAAAAAAGGATTAAATTAGAATGGGTGCTACTGCAAGTTCTCATCTGGGTGCTCACAACCAAAAAACAAAGAGAAAAAAAAGATTAATACCTGGCAAGGCTTTAAGTGACACACAGTGGTCTTTGCACATGGTTTAAAAAAAAAAGGCCAGGAAAATTACATAGGGAACGAGAAAAAATATCCCAAAATAATGAGATACTGAATGTAGTGATTATAGAACACCTGAGTACCCAGTTATTCAAACTTTCATAGCCATTTTGGAGGGACAGTCTCAATTGGCAGAACACCCTCCCTCCTTACTGCAGTACTAGGAAAGTGGGGAAGGAAGGACAGCCCCTATCACCCACAGGCCAAATTAAGTGCTGGCTGTGCCTCCCTGATACAGGCTGATTCAGGAGCATTTTACATTTCAATATCATCCCATAAAAAAAAGTTAACTTAGTGAAGCAATTACATCAAATGGGGAGGAAAAAATGTCTGCCATAGAGTGCCAGACATATTAAAAGCAACTACTTTGAAAGTTTAGAAAAGTATAGAGTTTTTTGTTTCTTTTTTTGAACACACAGAGAAAATCTACAGTGGGCAACTTTTACCCCAAAAAGTTTTGGTTTTTTTTTTGCTAACTAAATTGATTAAGCAGCCTACATTTACCTACTGAAGACTAAAACGAGTCTTCTGACAGAGTTTCCATGCTAGAAACAAAAGTAGAAATAAGGGTTCTCATATTCCCCTTGCTGGCCCAGGTGTAAGTATGGGAGCACTTACTGCAGGGCAGGAGTCACAAAAGACAGAGCCCCACGATGGGTGCTCACCACCCAGCCAGTGAGACCCCAAACCATGCATCCCCCAACAGTGACCTCGCACTCCCTGCAGCCCATCCTAGTGCAGCCTTCTCCCCATCTCTGCTCCTCCAAAGCACGTGTAAGACACCGTTTCTCATGCAAAAAAAGCCAAAACAACTAAAAACAACTAAAAACACAGCTTATTCCAGAAAGCTGCAAACACCACGCCAAAACTCCAAACAAGAACCCCGACTGGGACCTGTTTGAGGTGCCAACCTGGCGGGCACAGGGAGCACTCCATGAGCCCAGCCCAGGCTCCCTCCCGTGTCGCCTGCCGCCAGCCGAGCCACGTGTCCCGGGCTCCTCCACACCCAGCGCCCTCCCGGGAGCAACGCGGGCCGGGAATCCCGCTTCCCGGCGGGAATGTGGGTGCTGACCTGTCCCGGCCCGCCAGGCGCTCCTGCACTCGCCCAAGGGCACGGGCACCGACTAAAGCAAAAGCTCGGCTTAAGGCAGCGCTTCCAGGCAGCAAAGAGAAACACCCAAGGCGCGGGCACCGCCAGCTCTGCCCCGGGAGCTGCGGGCGGGCCCGGCACGGCACGGACTAGACCCGCCTGCAGCTGTGTGCAAAGCCAGGGCATGCCTGGGGACAAACCAAAGCCAGCATTTCATTCCCATTCCCTTACAAACAGCATCTCCAGACACCGATATGGGGACAGCAAGATACTCAATAGCAGAGCATCTTTTTTTCCGTCGCTTCAGAAAACACATGTGAATGCATCATAGGTTTACACGCACATATATATAGATATCTACACACACACACGCACGTGTGTATACACACATGTATATACACACACATACATACGTAAACACACGAATGAATAAATACATATATACACACACAGACACGTACACACACATATAAACACCTATATACACGTATAGATACACACACACACATCATCTAACAGACAACCCAGCTTCCACAGCCTGTACAGCTCCCGGCACGCAAGCCGCCGGCCCCGCACTGCCCGGCCGCTACCCCTCGGATCTCACAAGCTGCCCGCCCGTGCAGCTCCTCACCGCGGGGACGCACTGCGAGCCTCACCGTGAGCGGATAGCCGCTCCCAGCTGCCGCCATGTCGGCCATAAGGGAGCCCGCTCAGCCCATGTCACTTTAAGGCTCGGCACTCGCGCGGCGGCTCGCTGGCTCGCTTGACTGCTATCCCAGCCTGCCAATGAGAAGGGAGGACTGGGTGTAAGGCCCGCCCCCTCTCCATCTCAGAATTGATTGACGTGGCACTTGTCCAATAAAAGAAGAGCGAGGGCGCCGCTCAGCCAATCGAGAGGTACCGGCGGCGGGCGGGCCCCTGAAGCCAGCGGCGCAGGCGGGGGGCGGCGCGTGGGCACGCGCGGAGGGAGGAGGGCGGAAGAGGCCGGCCTTTGTCAGAGGGAGCCCCCGCGCCTCGGCCAATCGCAGCGCAGGGGCGCCGCCGCCGCCCGGCGCAGGGCAGGGCGCCCGCGGCGGGATTGGCGGCGGCGGGGCCGGCGGGGGCGGCGATTGGGCGGCGGCGTTCGAAGGCAGGTTTGGCGCGGGGCGGCGATTGGCTGCGCGGGCGCAGCGCGAGCCCGGGCCCGGGGCGGAGGGAGGGAAGGGCGGGGGGCGCGCGCGGGGTGACGCCGCTGCCGCCGACACAAGGGGGACGCGGGCGGGCGGCGCGCGGGGCCCAGGGCGGCACCGGCGGCAGCGGCACCGGGACGGCGGCGGCGGCGGCCCCGGCTCCTCCTCGGCGGCCCCGGCGGCCGCTCCGTCCCTCGCCCCGGCGGCACCTCCCCATTCCCCTCCCTCGGCCCGCCCGTGTCCGCCCCGCCGGATGGCGGCGGCGGGCGCGGCGGCCGCCCCGGCGCTGTATGCGTGCACCAAGTGCAACCAGCGGTACCCGTTCGAGGAGCTCTCGCAGGGCCAGCAGCTGTGCAAGGTGCGGCGGCGGCGGCGGGGCGGCCCCGGCCGGGGCTGTTGGCGGGGCGGCGGGCGGGGGCGGAGCGCGGGCCGGGGCCCGGCCGGGCAGTAACGCGGCGCTTCCCCCGCAGGAGTGCCGCATCGCCCACCCCATCGTGAAGTGCACCTACTGCCGCTCCGAGTTCCAGCAAGAGAGGTACGGAGAGCGCTGCTCGGGGCCCCGCGGCTGCGGGAGCTGGGCCTGGCCGCTCCGGGAAAGCGGGCTGAGGGGGATCTCATCAATGCTTATAAATATCTCCGAGGCCGGTGCCAAGGGGATGGCGCCAGGCTCTTTTCGCTGGTGCCCAGTGACGGGACGGGGAGCCGTGGCCATAAACTAAACCAGGAGATGTTTCACCTCCACATGAGGAAGAACTTATTTACACTGAGGGTGCAGAGCACTGGAACAGGCTGCCCAGGGAGGTGATGGGCTCTCCCTCTCTGGAGACACTCAGCATTTGCCTGCACACGTTCCTGTGTCACCTGCTCTAGGTGACTCTGCCTTGGCAGGGGGATTGGACCCGAGGTCCCTTCCAACCCAACTTTTCTGATTCCTTTTCCAACTAATTGCATGGGGAGGAATATCAAAGTGTGTGTTCGTCACCTAATTCAATGTTGTTCCATTTTATCTCTTTAGCAAAACCAACACAATATGCAAGAAATGTGCCCAAAACGTGAAGCAGTTTGGAACGGTGAGTAGTTACTTGGTTCTTTATGCTGAAGTTGAGCTTGTTTGTGCTTCAAACCAAAAACAAAGTTCTCTTGCAACTAATCCTCTTATTTTCTTTTGAGAAAAACAAACCCAAAACCAGGCCCACACTATAGATTGCCATCCAGAAAAGTGATGGAAAAGCCTGAGATCTCTTTATTTCCTCTGTGGGTTACCATTTCTTTTCCCAAATTGAAATCCCTTTGGGTTATATATAGCTTAACAGTTAAGAATAATTTCAATATAGCTATTTGTAACAAAGCAATGTTATTTCATGCCAGACACGGTAAGTTATTCCTTGCATATTCTCATAAGCACATGCTTCGTGGCAGGAACACCATTAGCTCTCCTTGTTCTTAATGAGTGGTAAATATGAAAATCTAGTAATACCACATACTTCATATTATGTAAGTCTTCAAAAATGCATGTTAATCATGTTGACCTAATAAGTAGAAAAGATTTTGAGTATTATCTGCATCCCTGTTTCTTTGCATTTTCTCGTATTGAATTTTAGCTTCAGTTCTGTTGGAAAAATGAATTTTTCTATTGTGTGAATGCACACATTGTATCTGAGCTGCCCTGCAGATAGGGGTTTTGGGAGGTATCAAGATAATCTTGTTGTGAAACAAAGAAGCCATGACTTTCGGATACTTGACATAAACCATATTAGTTGAAATTCAACTTATTTGAGAAACATAATAGCTGTTGGTATGTAGTCAGGCACTTTGTGAATGTGTATGTAAACTGAACAAAGAAATGCTTTCAAAAGCTTAAAATGTAGCAAAATGAATTGCAGAACAGAGCCATCAATGACTTTATCAGTGGTTCATCAAACAGAACTGCACTGAAGATAATCAGCCACTTTTAACCTATGAAAACTGACATCAGTTTTCTTTTTCAGCACTCTATAAAAGTTGATAACCTGACATGATAGTTCAGACTAAATAGACCTGAACTTGGCTTTTGTTTGGTGGTGGGGCTTTTTTGGTTTAAGTTTCCTGCAGAATTGCAGGGATTAGGATACTAATCTTGGAACTGTAGGGTTATTGAATCCCTGAGCTGTGCAAAGGAGAAGGATGCCATCAGAAACTTCCAATCTAAAAAAAAAAATCACTTGGTTACTCTTCTTTCAGAGTTCTGTGAGTAATTTCTTAAGTAGCATAGTAAAACTGAGAGAAATTGTCAACATATTTAAAAACATAAAAAGCAGTAAGTATAGAGATTAGTAACCAGATAGATGTGTGTGTTTCTTTTATTGTGTTTGGGTTTTCATGGAAAGTCCAGGCTGGTTTTAACCTTTGAAGAAGCATCATTTTAGAGGAAAGGTTTGGCACTGAAGATAGAAATGGTAGGGAAAAGGTTCTTTAAGGTAGGTTATTTGAAGCCCTACTGGTTTTGAGGCATCATCGTGTGAATTGAAATACCTGTGTTCATTACTGCAAATACAAATGTATTGACTTCAGTTCAACTTTTTTTTTCAGCCCAAGCCTTGTCAGTATTGTAACATTATTGCAGCATTTATTGGCACAAAATGCCAGCGTTGCACCAACTCAGAGAAGAAGTATGGCCCGCCCCAGACCTGTGAGCAGTGCAAACAGCAATGTGCTTTTGATCGAAAAGAGGAGGGAAGAAGGAAGGTAGGCTTTGTTCCACATCTCTCATGGCTTAGGCTGACAATAGTGTTCCTCTTTCAGAAGAGAAAGATTAACAGGAATGTATCTGAAGGTCTCTAATACTGGATTAAAGTTGCTTATCTGTGCTTTATAATATTTGAATTAAGTTTTGTAACTTGCAATTGTTATTTTAGCTACTGAGCTAACTTTTAATTAAATCACTCTTTCTAAAAATAGGAATTAGTTTTAGCAGACATTTGTAGCTGGGGAACAGCAGTTAAGCAGCTCAACAGTTTCTTGTTTTGATATTTATTTTACTTTTATTTTCCTATCAATTGGATCTCGTGTATGTTCATAACTTGAATCTGTCACTTTACCTCTTCTTATTTGCCTGCTTTGCCTTTTAAGTAGAGCACCAGAGAGGTAGACTGTTCTGAGCAGCCCTTTGTGTTCTGTTTTGTTAAATAGCTTTGGTGAGTGTCGCTTTCTCATTCCAGGAGGTGCTGAGAAAATGACCTCAAAAGCCTCTTGACTGAACACAAGAATAATGCTGTTTTTACAGAAGAATTTACTTGTTACAAGTAGCACGTTGTAAAAAAGACTCGTCCTTTTTTAAAGTTATTGTTATTTCTGCAATGTAGAGCAGGTCCAAAAATTGCTAGCACTCTTTGTAGCATAACTTTAAATGACAAGAGGAATAAGATTCACTTTACTAAAAGAAACTTGCATATATTGGAGATACAATAGTGATGTTTCTTACCAAAGATGTCTATTTTTCCAAAGATAATGGATGAAGTGAAATAAAATCTCCTTGCAAATATTGAGTACATCTCTCTAATGCAATGTACTTGGAAATAAAACCTGAATTATTTCTCAAAAGGTTGATGGAAAGTTGTTGTGTTGGCTCTGCACGCTGTCCTACAAGAGAGTGCTACAGAAGACAAAAGAACAGAGAAAGAGCCTGGGATCTTCACATTCTAACTCCTCATCCTCATCTCTTACTGAGAAAGACCAGCATCATTCAAAACACCACCACCATCACCACCATCATCATCGTCACAGCAGCAGTCATCATAAGTAAGTATTTCAAAAATTGAAATGGGTGTTGGTAGCTCTTCATCCTCTGTGTTCTGTTTGTACTGAGATAGTGAGAAAAACTATTTAAAACATGGTGTCAAAAGCAGTAGCAGAACATTGTTCTTCGTGGTCTTTCAAAATCCTTGGATTCTTAAAGTTTGAGTGAAGGTGGTTCATTAAAAAAAAGGAATTCTTGGTGATTGTCAACCTAGTTGATGTTAGAATCTGTAACAGGTCTAGGAAGAAGGCTCATGGAATGGCTACAGAAATGAGTTTCTTGAGGGCAAACTTGTATTTGGTTTCTATGCAGCAACTGCTGAGTGGTACCTGCATTTGCCAAAGTTGTGTATTAGCAGTGAGAATCCTCATCCTGACTTGCTGCAGCCTGACTTATTTGTGTACAAATAGTCAAAATGAAGAGGAGAAGCAGAAACAGCAGTGTGGGATTGCCTTCAGTCTAGGACCAGTTTGTACCTCTTTGCCAGCTTTTATAACCAGGTCTTGCTGGAGAAGGCAGTTTGGGAGTTATGATACAGACATAGGGACATAAGACTGTCAGTTCAGTTACTGTCACTCTAATAACATTTCACAGAGTTTTATCCCATTTTCTGCAGCTTTTCTCAACACATCATCTCTTACCATGGCATAAACAGCATACCAGCCTTAATGTACATATCAAATTTATTTAGTCATAAACTCCAGAATTCATTTGGGATTTTGTACTGCTATAATAGTAGTCATGATTCTTATTTTCATTGATAGATTTGTGGCAGCATAACTTCAGAACTGCTTACTTCTTGTGTTTGATAGTAAATACTGTGTCTGCAATGGTAATGACCTTGATCCCAGACACACAGACACTTTCCTTCTAAACTTCACCTTTCTAGTGCTTATAATTTTTCATCTTGTCTGAAACTTGCCTAAGTGTAAATTAAAGATAGAGGCAAAATAAGATGAAATTATATTGGTAATGAGTAAAAGAGAAAGACCCATACTTTCACTTTAAAAAAGTGAAAATATTTGGCATTTTAGGAATTTGAAGAAAACAATTTTTCTCATCTATGCATTGAGTTATTGTACTGTTCCTGTTCTTTCAAATCTCTGAGGAAAATTGAATTACAGAAAGTTAGATCTAATTTAATGCATTTGGCACAGGTACAGTAGGGATTAAATTAAAAAATAAGCTCTTTACTACTGGAAAGAGCTTCTGATATACTCAAGACTTATAGCAGTACTCATATCAATACAAATGTCAATGCTCCTGGTTTCCCACCTTTTTTTTCTGTAGACTGCCATGGGTCCCTTGCTTCTGGTCCGATTAATATGACTCCTTTTCCCTGTCCATTTCAGTTATTGTTAAGATCAGACAATAGAGACAATGAGGTAGAAATACAGTTTCTTGGAGCTATTTCACTCAGTGCAATCTACTTCATTCTACCATTGCTATATCAGTGTTCATTATTAGTTCCTTTTGAAATGATTGAAAGCAATTGGTTACAACTGAGAAGGAGTTATTTTCAGGGATCCAAATTTAACTTTACTCTTATGGCACCAAATGAGCACCATTTCAGGCAGTGTTCATATGGCAGTATGGGAATTCCAGGAGAGCTGCTTTAGACCAGCTGGCTGAGTACAAGATTAGCAAGAAAAAGTTCACAAAAACTGGGAGGTATCAGCAAAAATGTTTGGCCATCAGTCTTGAGGTCTACCCCTTGTGACTTGTAATAGTGTAGCTATTTAGCCAAGAAGTAATTTTATAGCATCCTGACATACTAAAGAATGGTCAGGAACTCTAGTGTCCAACTGAAAATTCATAACTGCTCACCATATTGGGAAAAAAGAAGTGGGGAGGGATTTTTCTCAAGTACAGATACCATTCACATAAACTTACAAATAATGGCGTGTTTGATCAGTTACCAAGTACATTTCACGTATTTCAGAATCAGCAATCTGAGTCCAGAACAAGATCAGGGACTATGGAAACAGAGGTAAATATGATATTATTTATTAATTTTCTTTTAATTTGTCTTGCAGTTTTCATTTAAAGAATTTCTTTTATCTTGCATTTCTGGCTAGTCTCTAGCATTCCACTTAGGAGCATGAGTTAGTTTTTACATGTACCAAATGGTGATACTAGAGAGTTACATAGTATGAGGCTTTAGGTTTACATTTTGTTTGATTTCAGCCATAAATCCTCTGCAGCTATTCAGAATGAAACTCCAAAGAAAAAACCCAAACTGGAATCCAAGCCATCAAATGGAGATAGGTAAAGTTACATTTTTGTAAAGCTGAGCCATTTTAACCAAAGAGAGCACTGATTTGTGGCCAGTTGCCTTTCTTTGTTTGTCCGAAGAATGAGGGATGTGAAACTTGTGTCCGGCCAGATGGATTATTGGGTGGCATCTGAGTGCTGTCAGTCAATTAAGTTACTTTATTAGCAGAAAAGTAGCACTCTTTTCCTGCTTTTGTTGGGGGAAAAATTAAACAAAGCTAATGTACAAGGTAACAGTTATCAACCCAATGGTGTTCCCTCACATTGGGAAATTGTTCTATCAGTTAGATGCAGGGTAGAACCTGCTGCTTTAAGCTGACCCAGTATCTAGACAATGCTGTTGAACTTTAATGTGGGAGACTGAATCTTTATTCTGTCTCTGGCCAAATGGTCAGAATAGTTAAAAATTAAAAGTGGCTGCTTCAGTCAAAAGGTATTTGTCCCCCTCAAAGCTAATACTGAATTATATTTCTGCAGGTGTATGTAATGTGTGCCATTAGTAAGGTAATTTGCCAGTTGCATCCATTTCTGTCAGGTACATACTTTTTTTGCATTAGTCCTTAAGGATGTTTATGGAATTATTAATTATCAAATTTATCAAAGTTTTTTAAAAGTGTTTTTCTTTTTTCTTTTGATGCTGTAAGTAACTATTGGTTTTCACTTTTAGTAGCTCTATAAATCAGTCTGCAGACAGTGGAGGAACTGACAACTTTGTCCTCATAAGTCAACTGAAAGAAGAAGTAATGTCACTTAAACGTCTTCTGCAGCAAAGAGATCAGACTATTTTAGAGAAAGATAAAAAGGTAAAAATTACACCTGCCTAATCAGAACTTTATAATTTTGTTTTCTGATTTGTTGTCTCCTAAAAATGTCAAAACAATAAGATAAAACAACAACAGTCAGATACAACTGTTTTGTATAGCAACTAATCAGATCTTAACATCTAAAGAAGAACTTATGCACTCTTGTATCATGAATATATTTTGTCTCCTAAGTCAAAGAGTAATTCATCTTACCTCTCTTCAGCCATGAAGAAGTTAGCCTGTTACTCAGGCTGCATGCCACAGGTCATGGATAAAGTGCCAGACAGTTTGAGCATGTTTTACATGCTCTTAACTGAGTCATGGCAAAGAGTAGTAACCATTCTGAGTTTAGCATAGTTTTTATTTAGTTTTAAACTGAAGCAATGCTAGCCATAATAAGTTGATGTCCAAATTTCCATTTGCAGTGTATGAAAATTTAGTGGTTTGTTTTTATAGGATTGGTAACTATGTGTACTATGAGTTGTCAAGTCTTTGTGGGTAGTCAGAGACCAGAAGAAAAGCTTGGATTAAGTGCCTGTCAGTCAACAAAAGTTGAGTGAAATTGTCAGGCCCAAGTGGCTTCAGCAGAACTCTTACAGAAGGTATTCACCCTTCCAACAAACTAATGACTAGCAAGAAAAGAGGAATAACAACAAATACACACTTTGATTTGCATTTGTTTTATTTCTCTGTCATCTGAATAACTAGATGCTTTTAGGACACTGTAGCAGTGGCTCTAGAATGTCTGTTCAGGATTTAGTAGGTTATGGAATTATATTCCAAACAAATGTATTATATTTTCAAGTAAAATTTTGATTGTGAATCCATGATGGCCTACCAAACATTGATGGTTAAGAAAGACTCATTCATACTGAAAGGAAAATGCTTACACTGTTAAACCATAGTTCAGTATCTTCATTTCTACACATAGTTGTGTTTTGTAAAGGATATTGATCCTATTTTCATTTATGTCACTGTTAAAATATACCTAGTATTGGAAGTACTTGCTATTTCAAGCCTTTAAGTGTTTAATGTGAAAGAGCTGAACAGTCTGTCCTGGATTCTTTTTAGGTATTTTCTTCAAAGGGCAGACATTAGGCCCTGATCTTTCTCTTATATAGCTAGGAGAAGACCATGAGTTGGTAGGAAGTTCACTTATCAGTTTTTATTTTCAATCTACTGGGCAAAGCTAACAAAAGTGGTAGGTAAACAAATGTCACCTCCTTCTGCATAACCACTGCAGTGACTTGTTTTATGCTGTTTCCATAGGGAGAGCATCTATTGAGTTTAATATCCCCACTGCTAAAACTGTTTGACTTCAGGGTCTTTGAACTTGGTCTCCTTCAGGCACGAAGTCCTCACTTTCAGAATGTCACTTACTTTTTCAGCTGCTGCAGGGAAGACAAAAGCTGAACACATTATGCAGTGTTTGCATTGCTGAAAACGAACATACTGCAGGTGTTTTTCACTGTGAGATAGGAGACATGTACTGGGTGAAAAGCCTGAGCCATTCCTGTGGGAGATTGCTGTTAAGGCTGTGTCTCAAGATTTGTGAAGGGACAGCATTTGAACAGTTTTGAATGCTCCAAAAGTAAAACCTGTGAATTGTATTGCGTGGCAACAAAAAACAGCTCAGTACACCATCTTTACAGATAATACTTATTCATCACTTTCTGTTCTGAGTCAAGGTATCAGCCACGTCATTATCAGTGTTTATTGTGTGCAGTAGTAGCCTTGTTTGTCTTTCTGCACAAAACGGTAATGAGAAACCACAACATTACTGTGAGGCCCTGAGACTTCATTTTTAGGACAGAGCCACAGTTTGCTGAATGTTCACAGGTAGTTTGCTCGCCTAGTTGCATACTTCACTGTGGTGCAGCACTACACTAGTTTTTTATATTTAGTGTGAGCTATGTGGGTTTGCACCAGATGCCTTGAGCAGCAGTGTGTGTTCAGGGAGTTCTGTACCATCATAGCAACATACCTGCACATGGCCTTTGATTGACTGTTCTTTTGAACAATGTCTGTTTCACTACATGTGATTAACCACATACTAAGGCTGGCAATTGCAGTCTTGGTAGTCACTTTAGGAGGATATGCTCTGGTTTGTTATGGCAGGCATCTTTGCTAGCAAAGAGGCTTCATTTCCTAATAAATCTGGAATGTATACATTGTATATATTTTTCCTTCTGCTTAGGACAAAATGTAGCATAAAAGGACACAAAAACATCCTTTTTATTGTCTTGGTAGGAAAGATTTTTTGGGTGTTACCACACCTTATAACTGAGAGATGTAACTGATGATTGTGGTAAGCATCTCACAGCTAAAAGAACAGCAAACTATAAATCACCAGTCTTGTATTTGAATTTTTTTTTTGTTGAGATTTAGCATATTTTATACAAAATTCTGAGCCAATAGTATGGCTCTATGACTATAGTTGCTTTCTGCATATAAAATAGGTATATAGATTTTTCAAACTGCTTCTCAAGTGCTGAACTGTCAATACTGCAATAGTAAATAAATACAGCGTTTCCTGGGATTCCCGAGCCTTCACTAAAGATTTCACATATTGACTAGAAGATGTGTCCTGTTGCAGTTCAGGGAATTTTCATAGGATCTGTGTTTTTCAGTTGACAGAATTGAAGGCAGATTTCCAGTACCAAGAGTCTAACTTGAGGACAAAGATGAACAGTATGGAGAAAGCTCACAAGGAAACTGTGGAACAGTTGCAGGTGCGTAATTGCTTATCAATGCTTGGGAAATACTTCAGATGGAATCATATATTTAGGCTGTTCAGTGTGTTCACTCCAATGCAGTAGTACCAAATTCATGAATGGTCATTGCTATGCTTAACTTTGGATGCATTGTGCAGCAATTCTGGAGTCAACAGTTTCCATATGAGTTAAACTCACTCTTTGAACTTAAAAAGGTAAAGCCTTACCTCATGTGCTTTCTCAAAGTTTATTTTTTGTGTCTGTTCTCTGACAATTTATCAGTTATCATTGGGCTATGGATCTGATTTAAGCACTCAGCATTAACACATTGGCAGCTAGATGTCTCTTGTTAAAGTATAATTTATCAGGAGGAAAGCCTGAATTAGTTGCCTTACAAATCACAGACTGAGCAGACAATCAGTGCAATAGTGGATATACTAAATGTTGCAGTATAGGGGGTGTGATTACTTTCTCTGTTGAAGACAGAATATGCATATCAAGAAACATATACACTTCTTTGAAAAGTGATCATTACCTTCTCTGAATATTCTTAGCCTGTATATTTTCAGAATTTGTTCATAAATGCAAAGCACATGACACTACTATTTCAGTAACATACTTTTTTTAATCTGTGTTGCAGGCCAAAAACAGAGAACTGCTCAAACAGGTCGCAGCATTGTCCAAGGGTAAAAAGTTTGATAAAAGTGGGAGTATCCTCACATCTCCTTGAGGAACTGGTTCTTCGTGGGGTTTGCTACTCAATGTACATTTGAGTAATTCTGTGAAGCCCTTAAAATCCTGTGTAGTGGAAAAAATATTTTTGCACACCAGATTAGTTGGCATGTTTCCTACATGTTTTTATAATTAATATGCAGCATTTTTTAGTTACTGTTCAGATTAAATACTTCAACTGGCTTGAAGAATGTTTTTATTTTTTTGATATTGGAAACCTTTTGCCAGCAATAGTATTAAACAATTGCATAGAGAACATAGCAGTGCTCTCTCTGAAAGGACAACATGCAATAACAAACTAGGTGTACTTTTTACAAAGTAGCAACTGAGTCTTTTAAACTACAATGATGTCAGCCAAAAGTTCATGAATCTGCAGTGACACTGAACACTGGCTTCTGGCAACCGTTCTTTTACTTTGTATGAAAATATAAATTTGGAATGGAAATCATGGTGCTCTCAAGTGGAACTGAAAAGAGGCTTATATGTATGTGTAAATACGGCTGTAACGGTTATATTCTTTGTTATAACAAGTAATTAGTGTTTTACCTTCTTGTGATAGGGACTGACTGAAAGATTATCTATTGTACAGTAACAGAGGCAGTGTGGTTTTTGTAAGATTTACTGTAGACTTTTCTTGCAAGTGCCTTTCTCCAACTGTTTATTTATAGGAATGTTGGTATTTTGTACATAAGGTTTTTATGTTTTAAAAATCATGTTTAATAAATGTTTTATGTAAATATAAATGTGTGTACAGAGGAATCTGAAACAAAGATCAAAGTGGCTAGTGCAGTGCTCGAGGCAGCATTAAGAGCTGGCTAGCTGATTGATGGACAGTGGGTATTGGCTTTAGATAACCTTTGTAGCTTGTGTCTGTGAGGTGTAGAATTTTATTAGTGCTGCTTATGCCAAACACTTCCTGAACAAAAAACCAATTTTTTTTTTTTTGCCACACTGGAGTTTTGTGGTTTGTTTATACATTTTTCCCATTTGGCACAGCACTAATTTTAATTCCATAGCAGACATTGTACTCCAATGTTACATCCTTTGATAGTGATACACAGTCAAAGTTTTAATTGCGTTTATTTCCCATTGTCTGGTTTAATGTACTTGGTTGTAACTTATGGTGATTCTTCTTAATGAATTACAAGATTCATATCCCCCACTGAAGATGCACACTGAGAAAAGAGTAGCCAAAACTGAAATTAATTAAGGGAAGTCTTGAAATTAATTAAGGGAACGGATGTGGTGTCATAGGGTGGGTTTTAATGTTTTGGGTGGATTTTCATTCTAAATTACATCAGTTTAAGGTTAGCTCTGCTCCTAATGGACATGAGTCATATTCAGAAATTTCTATTAAACAATAATTTAGTATACCCCAAGGTATCTGTTCAGGAAGGTAAGTTATGAATCAGCATAAAAGGAAGTAGACTTACATGGGTAAAGGTTTAAGTAAGCTCTGGATACTGACTGGTAACAGGGTACTGGATCAACTGGATACTGTTGATATTTCAGCAAGCTTAATTGTGTAGAAACAGCTACTACACATTTTTAATTGAAGAACAAAAGTCTATAGACCCTTGGCTGTTCACCCAGGTACTGATCTATGAACACTTTCTCAATAGTTCAAATGAGCTCCAGCAGCGACAGACTACTGAAAAATATGAAAAATTTAATCTATCTTGTTTCGTATAGTATATGTGTATTTTTATACCCTAAAATCAACTTTGTAAGTTTATGAAAACTCCTCTTTAAACATATTAAACTAGGATAGAGAATGCTGCTATCTTTGGGGTTGTTATTAATTTTTTTAGTATACAAATTTATGACTTTTATTAATTCAGATTTAATATTTGGGTCATTTTTTTCCATTTTGATGGTGACCCATACTCAGTGAAATGAGTTTTAAAATACAGAAATGCATAGCAAAATTAAGTGTTTGAATTAAGATTACTTAATGATATCAGTTCAAGCTGCAGTCAGGACATTTTAAAGAAACAAGCAGAAGTTCTGTATTAGAGGTAATTGACTTCATAAATCCCAGTCAGAAGAATTTTTAGGGGTTTCAGAGTGTTTATTTCTAATTAAATACCTGTGGGTTTTCTTACATAATCTCATTTTTAACATTAATTTTTTAAAGTCCTTAATTAGCCAACTGAATCCCAGTCCTGAGAATCGTGTTCTGGAGCAGTAGATGGTTGACATAATAAACTGATGTTCTTTAAACGTGGATCTGCGAGGAGATTGTTGTACTGTATTGTGCTTTTTAGCCTGTTTCCAGATGTTGATTAGCATTGACCAGTAATGGCCATTTTGGCTCAAGTTATTTATGTATTTTAAGCCTGTGAATATTGCAGCCCCCTTTTAGATAGTTTGTCCAAATCCATGTTCTGCAGTGAAGCTGTTCAGCTGTCCACATGTATAGATAATTGAAATCCTGTACTGGCACACATCTGACCGTTGACATTTTGTACCTTTTCTAAATCCAATGTTTCACAATAAAATCTTGTCAAAACATTCATCTGTCTTTTAAAAATTATTCAAAAATCCATATTTTGTGTTAATCTTTCATGCTACATTACTCACTAAAAGTCTGTAGTCAAAAAATGGGCAGAATTTAATATTTCAATTTCTGTTAAGATTAGGCACCTTGGGCTGTCTACAGATTGTAACAAACTACAGCTACAGATTACTTTGTCTCATGAAAATATTTTTGTTTTCTACAACAGAATTATAATATATAGAAATATTTTCCTATCAAGAAGAAAAACACATGAAGTGACATTGATAATTTCTTTGTTTCCTTTCTTGTGTCTGCAGGAGTTAGGTGCCCACAGCAGCATCCTGCTGGCTGTCAGTCACAGTGGCTCCTAGTGTTTAGAGCACTGGCCCTGCAGATTGTAAATCTCATTTTATATTTTTCTCAGCAGTCAGACTTCGTCCTTCCCCTATCCAGAAGAATACTTCTCATTCAAGAATTAAAGTTAAAAACAGAAACAAACAAAAAAACCACCCACCCCCCAAAAAAAACCAAAAAACCAAAACAACCAAAAAAACCAGGTCCAACAAGAGAGTAAGATTCTCTATCAAGTCAAGGCAATTACTTGAGAGGATCTTTGAGTTCCAGAGCATCTCAAAACTGTTGATACTTTGTGTTAGGTATATTAATGATCTAATGCAGGATTGCTCTCAGACTCATTTTAATGCAAACTGGCAGCAGCAGCTTTGAAGCCATTTATTTTTAAAGCTGAGAGCAAGTCAAAATTAGGTGTGGTATACTTATTTTAGGTGTGGCTTTCATGTGACCCATGGAAAATGTGTGTAACCGGCCATGTAACCAATTGTCTCCTGAAAAGATATTTGCATCATTTGAAGCAAATTTCGTTAAAGAAGATTTAAACTGATACAACCTGTGTATAGGTATTCAGGCAGTTCTTTATGGTCTTTAGTACCTTCAAAAGTTCAGAATCCACACTGATTTTTATGAAAACACTGATGTTTATGATTATAAACTATAGCTTTTGAAATGGAGTAACAGCTTTTCTTGTCATTTTATTAATTCAAATGATTACTAAAATATTGGTACTACAATAGAATACACATTTTCTGACATATTATGTGCAATTGCTTTAGCTTTCCTAGTGGAAGAGGTATTGATACTGCTGAGGTACAGAAATTACTTCTGTTGAGCCTCACAGGAGAAGTAAGGGGGTATTGGACAGGGGGATTGTTGAGGTGAATGGAGATGTTTGTGCTGCTCCTGGAGAAAGGAGGAGGGTAATGGAGATGTCAGGGCTAATGGGGAAGAGAGACCTCTGAGAAACCATGTTACTTGTTTATTGAATGTAGTGAATCACACAGCTGGGTTTTTTTAAGAGATGCTTGTTTTCTATATCTGTAAAATGCAGCGTTGCTTATGGGAGATTTTTGGTTTTGTTGGTGTTTGTTTTTAGCAATACTAGAGCCCAGGTTTTAGAAATGAACAGAATAAACTGCTTGATTAAATTGAGATACAAAGATGTAACATTCACCTTTTAAGCAGTTAGTCATAACTGTGTAAATCAAAAAAACCAGGTAAAACTACAACAGGCCACTGCATACCATAACCCCCGCTGGGTAATGGTGCAAGTTTCACTATACAACTCCAAGTGACTATCTCTCTATTCTCACACATTAGACAGAAATTGTCCTTGAAGGTATGTCACTCAGCAGCACATGAATCATTGACATTTTCCCTTGCTGTAACCTAAACAGAAAACAAGTCTGGGGTTGTCTGTTTGCCTTTGGAAATGTTCATTGTAGTACACTGGCGCTGTTCTAACTGACCCTGTTGCTCCTGGCAATTTCTCTTCAGTATATCTCCTGGTGAGTAAAGGTAATTTTGCGTTTTGACTGAAGTAGTCAGTCATGTGCCATGGATGCTGATGTGCTAGGCAAGCCAGGGGACAGTAGACATTCGTTTGTGAAGTGTTCATTTTCCTTCTGTCTGCTAAGGGTTTCCGACTTTGGAGTACTTGGTAAGTACATTCATTTTTAATTGTCAGTTGGAAAATAGGCCTTCCAGCTTCTGCAGAATACTGAAGGCTAAAGTTAAAACCACATCACCTTTGCAAACAAAAGGTCAGTACTGGAAGTGTAAGCAGGAGACTTCTTTTATAGGGTCTTCTTTTGACTGCAGGTTTGTGGACAAACAAAAATAGACTGGACTAACAAATAGGTGAGAGTTTAGACCCCCAGGCAATCTTACTACGGGTTGGGTCAGAGGAATGTGATGTATTCCTGCTATGGCTACTGTGGGTATTAGAATTTGCAAATTGATTTTTCCCAAATTGATTTTTACCTCCTGTTGTAATGCCTCTCCTACTTTTTCAGTACCTTAGAGCAACGTGTTTTGAACTGAGTGCTGAAAACTCATGTTTTCCCTTATTTGAATCAGCAGATAAATCTGTTTTGCTGTATTTCAGTAAAATGTGTGAGGCATTCACAATTTGTCCTTTATCAGATGCAACAACTTATGTCTTTAGTTTTATTTATAGAGGTTCCTTGGGAAACTTTTTACAACCTTCCAAAAACGGGAAGAGCTGTAAAGCTGTATTATCTGGAATAACAGCTTTATTATCTGGAATAACAGCTTTTTTTGTTTGCTGAAAGGCAAACAATTAATTCAAGCTGACTCCCCTGAAGCAGTCTAGTAGTGCTCACACAACCTATTGCTGTGCTGTAGTTGCTCTGCATGTTACAAAACACAACCAGGAACAGTAATTTCAATCATTCTTTCAAGATCTACAAGGATTTGCTTGCTGGTCACTTACGTGACAGAGTGCATCATTCAATGAAGTTACTATAGGCAAAAAGCCTTTGTCATACAATCATGGAGTTTAAGCTACAAAACTTGGATTGTGGAGATCCAACCATTAACCCAGCCAAGTCCACCACCAATCCATGTCCCTAGGTACAAAATGTACACATTCTCTGAACACTTTGAGGGATGGTGATTCCACCATTTGCCTAGGTAGCCTGTTCCAATTCTTGACAACCATTTCCATGAGGAAATGTTTCTTAATAACCAATATAAACCACCCCAGTGCAATTGAAGGCCATTTTCTTTTGTCCTATCACTTGTTATCTGGGAGAAGAGACTGACTCTCACCTCACTAAAACCTCCTTTAAGGCAGTTCTAGAGAGCAGTATTTCCCTGCCAGTCCTCCTTTTCTCCAGGCTGAACACCCCCAGGTCCCTCAGCTGTTCCTCACCAGACTTGTTCTCCAGACCCTTCCCCAGCTCCATTGCCCTTCTCTGGACACACTCCCCTCCCTGTCCTTCTTGCACTGAGGGGCCCAGAACTGAGCACAAGATTTGAGGTGAGGCCTCACCAGTGCCCAGTACAGGGGGACAGTCCCTGCCCTGCTCCTGCTGGCCACACCATTGCTGATCCAGGCCAGGATGCCGTCGGCCTTCTTGGCCACCTGGGCACTGCTGGCTCATGTTCAGCTGCTGTTGTCCAGCACTCCCAGGCCTTTCCAGCTGTGACCCACGCACAGGCCCTGGCACCTGGCCCTGTTGAACCTTTTATAATTATCCTCAACCCATCAATCCAATCTGTTCAGCTCCCTCTGCAAACTATTCTTGCCCTCCAGCAGATCAACAATCACACTTGGTGTTGCCTGCAAGCTGGCTGAGGGCCCTCAATCCCTTTCCCCAAATCACTGATAAAGACAGACATTCAACAGGAGTGGCCCAGTACTGATCCCTGGGGAGCCCCACTTGTGACCGGCTGCCAGCTGGATGTAACTGTGTTCGTCACCACTCTCTGAACTTGACCATCCAGCTGGCTTTTTATCCACTGAGCAGCAACTGTCCAAGCCATGAGCAACCAGCTTGTCCAGGAGAATGTAATGGGAAATGGTGTCAAAGGCTTTACTAAAGTCCAGACAGACAATATCCACAGCCTTTGCCTTATCTGCTAAGTGGG